TTAGGTCACTTGGCGTGACCTGGTGACCTGACCTAAGGTGACCCAGGTCTGAAATTTTCACAACATGTGCGGAAAAGATGCACAAACAGGTGTGCCAAAAACGGCGGCGCTCCGCGCCGCCGTTTTTGAGATATCTGCGAAAAACCGCAGGGGGGGTGTGTTCAAACACCCCCGGCCCGGCGCGGGTTAAGTGAAAGAGACGCAACAATTGCCGTTCTTCACTGCGCTATTATGTCCATTACGGCCAAAGAGTTTTATGCCGTTTCGTCTAGATGTCGAAATCGGGAAAACTTGACCTTTGATAAGCGCTGGTGACCTGACGTTTGTCCTGACATCCCCCAGTAGGGCCTAGGAAGAGGGTAAGACAGTCTATCTCGAGGTAAAACGGTGTTTAGATGGAACTTTTGAAATTAACTGATTACGGAGCGAGCGAAGCGAGCGGAGTCTTTCCTTAGATTAACGGAAATTTCTGAGTATGAGCGGCCGGCCGGCCGTGCGGACGCTTTTGCGAGGCTTATATCTCAGCAACCACTTGACCGATTTACACGCGGTAATTTTTGTAGGGTAGCTTCATTCCTTCTACCAAGTATTGGACTATTCCCGATGCATGTGGGTGACCCCTTATGCACGTGCCACGTGCAAAACGAAGAGGTGTCAGTTTTGTAATTGTTGCAATATCTCGGTAACTACTTGGCCGATTGCGCTGAAAGTTGGCATGTAGGTAGGCACCCACTAGGCACTGCATATCCATGTGCCAGAGTTGGGGTGCTGCTGCACGTGCGCACGTGCAGGGGTCGTTTCCAGATCTCGAGAACGGCTGGACCGATGGCGCTCAAATTTGGTACACGGTTAGGGACCAGTTAGTAGGGTGCCGTGCACAAGTCAGTTGGGACCCATTTTGCACGTGCGCACGTGCAGGGTGCCGCTCCCAGATCTCGAGAACGGCTGGGCCGATTGTGCTCAAATTTGGCACATCGCTAGAAACCGGTCAGTAGGGTGCCGTGCACAAGTCAGTTGGAGGTACCCCCTCGAAATTTCGCACGTGCAAGACTCACCCCCTCGCTCGCTCCGTTAGTCGCCCCAAAAGGCGCTATACTGGTATTTATGTTGTGTGCATACTGCATACCTACCTTTATGTTGCATACCTAACTAAAGCTTTCTGACTGACATAGAATTGGACATCTTGACTGATTATTGAACCGACATACCAATTAATTGCATAATTAATCAATCAGGCTATATATTAGTCCTATGCGATTCAAACTGAGTTTTAAAAGGACCCTCCCACCTTCAAAAAAGTTAATGAATTGGCAGAAAAGTGGTGTCCAGTGGTTCAGAAAGATCCAACATGAATATCTACCAAGTTTCACCGAAAAATGTTCGCTGGCTTTCAAGATATTAGACTTTTACTTTTGTTTACTCTTTGGGACCTCCGCAGTTCCTACGACGTCCTCCAGAGGCGGATCCAGCTCAGAGTTTTTTTTTTTGGGGGGTGAGGGGGCAAACCATAACAATTTATCGATTCTTTCCATGCATCGTCCATAGGCGTAATGTTAAAATTATGCCGTTTTGGAGGGGCAAATGCCCATTTTGCCCCCCCCCCCCTGGATCCGCCACTGACGTCCTCTATGATTTGGAAGCAATAATTGACATCCAGTGCGGCAGATGTTGCGCGCAAAGCAGCATATACCGCCAGCAGGGACTATCACATATATTCCGGTTTTTTCGAAATTCTTTTTTGGAAATTTTTTTAGGTTTTCTAAAAAGATCTTTTTTTTTACTTTGGGGGGTTAAACTCTCAAAATTTCGAAAATCCGAGATAGCAGTTTTGTAGCGCCGACTTTTCGCTACACAGCCTCATAAAGAACTTTAAAATTGCTTGTTAACTGTAGAATTGGTGAGCGTTTCAAGATGTCATGTTTTTTGCTCATTTTTACTCGAACATGACCTCAGTTTGACCTCAATAACTCCTGACCTGAGGTGACCTGTGACTTGAAATTTTGTGTGAAGGTGTCAAATTGATGCCCGGTAAGGTAACCAAAATTTGGCGGCGCTGCGCGCCGCCGTTTTCTCGCTATTTAAGAAAAACCATAGGGGGGGGGGCCAAAATGGCCCCCCATCAGGGCGTGGGCTTATGTTAAGCTGAGATGGCCTCTGTAAACGATCAAATAGATTTGAAAATAGGTGCCAATATTTTATGGAAAATATTAGTTTTAAGTCCGCAGTGACGAGTCAAGTATTCAGGACTGGCGCAAGCATGTAGAACTTCGTTTTTTAACCCGCGCCCGTCTGGGGGTCCTGGATTTCCACGCCCTGCTGGGGGGGGGGGTGTTTGAACACCCCCCTTCTAACTCGGCTCTTGGGCCACGTAGCGATACGCGGAAGGCGGCGTTCGAAAGAGCGCCAAAAATAATGACGAAATCACTTCGGTCACTTTTTGGTCAGGTTGAGAGGTCATTGAAGGCAAAATTTCGCCGATTTTCAGGTCGAATGTCGACAATTTCCAGGAAGCCAACGCATAACTCGAGAACCAATAGAGCTAAAGCGCCGCGGAAAAGTGCATTCGATAGCCCTATTAACGCCCTTTCTAAGTAATTTTCTCAGATTTGACCTAACGTCAACGGTTTTGCCTGCAGGGGGCAAAAACTGCAAAAATAGCCGATTTTTTTAAACAGTTTTTCTGCAATAATTTTTGACCGAAGCCTTGTACAAGCTTACTTTTACCGGCATCGTGTTCCTCTCGTCAAGACGCATCGAATGAACTATAACTTGACCTTGAAAGGTCAACTTGAAAAATTGACCTCAGGTCAAGGTCATGACCTGACCGGAATAGGTCATGTTGCATATCAGTCGATCCGTATCGTCGAGCTGAACACATCTAAGGCGTTTTCATCGCTCTAGCGTGCCTCTATCAAAAGTTATTTGCGAAAAACTGTTAGACACATTCGTGACCTGAGATGACCTCAGGGGCATAAATAGGGGCCACGGACACCATTTTCATGTTCAGTGTGTTTAAACCACTTGTAATTCAGTGTTTGGGAGTGTTTATAATGTCTTTCGTCCAAAAGAGGCGCATTTCAATTTTTTTCCCATTGACTTACCTATAACCCGCGCCCTGCTGGGGGGGTGTTTGAACACCCCCCCTTGTGGTTTTTCGCGAATATCTCAAAAACGGCGGCGCGGAGCGCCGCCGTTTTTGGTACACCTTATCATACATCAATTCTACACATGTTGTGAAAATTTCAGACCAAGGTCATTCAAGGTCAGGTCACCAGGTCACTTGAAGTGACCTCACCTCATAAAAACTTTCAATGTCTGTCATAGCTACACCGAGTGACCGATCGCTTTGAAACTTTCAGCGATTGCTAAGAGCGATAGCATGTACAAAATGTATATCTCAGAATTTTGATATCGATGACCTAAGGTCAGGTCAATTTTGCGACCTCCCCATTATAAGTCAATGTGAGAAAATTGAAATGCGCCTCTTTTGGATGAAAGACATTATAAACACTCCCAAACACCGAATTACAAGTGGTTTAGACACACTGAACTTGAAAATGGTGTCCGTGACCCTTGTTTATGCCCTGAGGTCATCTTAGGTCACGAATGGTATCTAACAGTTTTTCGCAAATAACTTTTGATAGAGGCATGCTAGAGCGATGAAAACGCCTTAGATGTGTTCAGCTCGACGATACGGATCGACTGATATGCAACATGACCCTTTCCGGTCAGGTCATGACCTTGACCTGAGGTCAAATTTTCAAGTTGACCTTTCAAGGTCAAGTTATGGTTCATTCGATGCGTCTTGACGAGAGGAACACGATGCCGGTAAAAGTAAGCTCGTAAAATGCTTGGGTCAAAAGTTATTGCAGAAAAACTGTTTCCGAAAAAATCAGCTATTTTTGCAGTTTTTGCCCCCTGCAGGCAAAACCGTTGACGTTAGGTCAAATCTGAGAGAATTACTCAGAAAGGGCGTTAATAGGGCTATCGAATGCGCTTTTCCGCGGCGCTGTAGCTCTATTGGTTCTCGAGTTATGCGTTGGCTTCTTGGAAATTTTCGACATTCGACCTGGAAATCGGCGAAATTTTGCCTTCAATGACCTCTGGTGACCTGACCTTTGACCTGACCAAAAAATTGACCGAAGTGATTTCGTCATTATTTTTTACGCTCTTTCGAACGCCGCCTTCCGCGTATCGCTACGTGGCCCAGGAGCCGAGTTACAAGGGGGGGGGGTGTTCAAACACCCCCCCCCAGCAGGGCGTGGAAATCCAGGACCCCCAGCAGGGCGCGGGATAATATGGGGAGGTCGCAAAATTGACCTGACCTTAGGTCACCGATATGAAAATTCTGAGATAAACATTTTATAGATACTGTTACCCATATCAATCGCTGAAAGTGTCAAAGCGATCGGTCACTCAGTGTAGCTATGACAGACATTGAAACTTTTTATGAGGTGAGGTCACTTCAAGTGACCTGGTGACCTGACCTTGAATGACCTTGGTCTGAAATTTTCACAACATGTGTAGAATTGATGTATGAGCGCCGCCGTTTTTGAGACATTCGCGAAAAACCACAAAGGGGGTGTTCAAACACCCCCTCCCCCCCCCCAGCAGGGCGCGGGTTAATGCATATAACTCAGAGGTATAAACATAGGTATTGTCAGTTCCATGGTCTGTCATCATCAACAAAGCGCAGTACTATTGCAGGGCATTGGAGCACCGCATGTTCTCTAGGAAGAGCGAAAAGTCCCGCTGGTTTTTTCCGTCGCTTCAACTCAACAGTTTGCCATGAATGACGCTTTTGCCAAAGCCACCTTGGACTCACCCCTGGCCGGCGCGAGCAAAACATGTTTGCGGCGGCGCGGGGCTGTCGGTCGGGCCCACAAATTCTGTGGCCGTGTAATCTGAGTGGTCATCTGCAGCGGCCGGCGCGCGCCGTCACCGCGCGAACTTTGCCCCGTGCCGCTCCGAGCGGTCACCAATGGGAGCCGGCCGGCGGTGGGGGCGCGGGCGGGGGCGGGGGCGGGCCGCGGCCGCGCAGGTTAAAACGGACCGGCCACTGGCCACTGTATCAGTTGTCCTGTGCTGCGTGCGTCGGCTCGTGAGAACGATCGGTCCGTGAATCCAAAATGCAGATCTCCACTAAGTACCTGTTTGCCTGCTTGCTGGCCCTGGTTTTCCTCTGCAGGTAAGCACATCTCAAAGCCATCGATCATGTTTAGTTTTCTCATTGGCAATTTCATGGACTGCGCTGGAATTTTATTGTATCACGGACTCCTTGAAGCAGCGTAATTGTAATTTATCCGTAATCGGCGCAGTCCTTCCCTCGCATCTGAAGAGTGCTGGAGGTTTCACGCCTTGTGCTGGCCACCCTCTGTCATACGTGGCCGCCGAGCTCTCCGCCAGTCGTCAGCATGGTGTACTGTCTCTGCTTCAGGGCGTCATCGGCAGCCTCCGCCTGTTACGGCATTAGAAACGTCAACCCCAAAGACTGTTCGTACGGCGTTATCGAGTACTGCGGGAAATACATCTGCGCAAAGGTAAGCGACGGCAACGTGCTCCACCAACTCTTTGGGGTGAAAAGACGTGCTTAGTTTCTTTTACCATAATGTAATTTACCATCGTAGACTCATCATGCTACAAGGGAATAATCAGAAAAGTTTTGCGTCTGCCTATCCTAGATCTGGCGCCGATCTAGAATGTTCCTCAGTCTGGGCCGTGTTACAAAACCGGGCCGGCGGCTGGACAGTTGCACACATCGCGTGCTGCACGGCGCGCCTGGCTTTCCACTGTTGATACGCTGGGTTCACACCGTGGCTGTCAGGGTCGGCGTCCGTCCAGCCCCGAAATTCTGAGCGGAGTCCGCCGTGGCAGGGATACTCTAGGGCCGTGGTATTCCGCGGCCGTTAAATATTGACTGGGGTGACGCTGGAGCTGGAGTATTTCCACCAGTGACCCTCGTTAGCAGCTCGACCAACCGAGCCTTGAGCCCTGAAACTCAGCGACTGACGTTCGCCTTCCTCCACCCACAGGGTACCGGCGCAAAGTGCAGCAACAACCGCAACAGCCCGTTCCGCTGTGGCACCGGCAACTTCTGCTTGTGCGGCCGCTGTCAGGGCTGCTCACTTCACAACGTGAGCGACTGCTACCAGGAGACAACCAACTGCTTCAGCAAGTGATGCAGCCGACTGGTGGAAAATCTCCGGTCGGCGCGGCGGCGAGGCGGGGTAGCAGGCAGCCAGCGCGGGACAAGATGAGCTCGCGCCTTTACTGATCTCAGCACGGCGGCAGACCGCTGCCGGCAACTGCAGCGGCGGCGGCCGCAGCACACGGGCCGACCCGGATGACCAAAGCGCGGCGCAGGTGTTCGCCGTGTCGGTACTGGCCCACCGGCCAGCTGGCAGCCTTAAAGACGACTGTGTCTCTGTGGAATGTCTTATTGGTGCGTCGACTACATTCCACTGTTTTTCTGTGGTATTTTGTCCTTTATTGTACTTCTCTAGCGCTCATAAGCCATTGAGCGCAGAGAACGTCGGGACAGCCCCGTCCCGTGGACGAGAATATCTTTATTTATTTGTGATATTGTTGGTCTAGCTGTTGCACAACAAAGATGCTGTTGACATGACAAATATACAAATGAAATCGTTTTAATTGACGTTGTATTCTCTCTCACCGAAAATAGGGCAAAAGCGGATGTAAGAAAAATGCAAGGTTCGGGATCTGGACCTCTATAGACTTCGGTGTTGCTGTATAGGTACCCGCTACTTACGAGTATACATAAACCGTATTCGCTCTACACGCACATTGTGCATAACATCGATACAGAAATATACTCAATACACAGACGTCTGTGGCTTAGAATTATTTACCCAGTCTATTCAATATAACGTTTAGTGTCTATTAATTCGCACGGGGACCGTAAGGCAAGTTGCAGCCTTGGCGATGGCTACATTCATTTTTTTTGCATTCATGCCCGACTCAACGCTGATAACTTACCTGCAGCAAATGAATGATACTGCAGTACCTATAGAACGGATGGAATTAAGTATGAAAGATAGGCATGTCAACTCAGATGTGTACAGGACGCTTCAAGGGCAATGTCAGCTATCGTTAGCATACAGATGCAACAGACAAAGCAGACACAGGTCTCGCACATTAGGTTAAACAGAAAATGCAGAGTTCAAAAGTGCACCAGCATGCAGTCACCGATGCGATCTCACATTTCATGACATTTCACCTATGACATTTTGCCGATGTTTGGTGAAGCGCTTGGAGACTTCCGACCAGCAACAGTGCAGCGCGTCATTGCAGAAGATGGCTGTTAGTGCAGCGGCGGCTATATCGTAGCTGCAACCGCGGCTGACGCAACCGTGCTAAACATGGCGCGACACACGCACCCACGGCATGTGCGGCGTACATACATACACTCGCCCTCACAGTGCCATCACAGTACTGAAGATCTCGGGCTTGCGGTCTCAGCTGTACTTATGAATATGGTTCAACTGTAGATGGTGCAGTGTTTCCCACGGTTCGCTTCTTTTCAGTGCTTGAAGGCGTCACCCTAACTGTCCGTGTCGAAATAACCCGTTACGCCAGGCGAGTGCGCGGCCATAATGTGCGGCTATAGCACACACTGGCATGACGTTAAATGGAATCATAAGCGTGCATCGTCTGCAGGGGAATTAGCGGTCATACATATGGAATAGCCACAAATAAGAGAACGGCTAAAAACTTTTCCGATTTGTTGCGAATAGTAGCCGGAGGCTGGCTGTTTCGCATGGCTCGGAAATTTGTCAAGGCTGATTGAGCCGGCATGTAATGGGCTAATCGGAAAACATTAATTACGGAGCGAGCGAAGCGAGCGTAGTCTTTCCTTAGATTAACGGAAATTTCTGAGTATGAGCGGCCGGCCGGCCGGCCGTACGGACGCTTTTGCGAGGCTTATATCTCAGCAACCACTTGACCGATTTACACGCGGTAATTTTTGTAGGGTAGCTTCATTCCTTCTACCAAGTATTGGACTATTCCCGATGCATGTGGGTGACCCCTTATGCACGTGCCACGTGCAAAACGAAGAGGTGTCAGTTTTGTAATTGTTGCAATACCTCGGTAACTACTTGGCCGATTGCGCTGAAAGTTGGCATGTAGGTAGGCACCCACTAGGCACTGCATATCCATGTGCCAGAGTTGGGGTGCTGCTGCACGTGCGCACGTGCAGGGGTCGTTTCCAGATCTCGAGAACTGCTGGACCGATGACGCTCAAATTTGGTACACAGTTAGGGACCAGTTAGTAGGGTGCCGTGCACAAGTCAGTTGGGACCCATTTTGCACGTGCGCACGTGCAGGGTGCCGCTCCCAGATCTCGAGAACGGCTGTGCCGATTGCGCTCAAATTTGGCACATCGCTAGAGACCGGTTAGTAGGGTGCCGTGCACAAGTCAGTTGGAGGTACCCCCTCGAAATTTCGCACGTGCAAGACTCACCCCCTCACTCGCTCCGTTAGTCGCCCCAACAGGCGCTATACTGGTGAGGAAAAGTTAAAGGCTTTATCATCGTTTGTTTTCACCATAAAGCTTGAATAAAACTTACTTTCATGTCTTTAAAACATCATCATTTATTTCACGATTCACAGCCTTTGGACTTTCTTCCAAAGGACGGCTTCCCACTCCAGTGGCGTAGACCCAACTGAAGGAGAAATCACTGAGTTGAGCGAACAAAGCGTGCTATTATCAACCCAATCACATGGATTTGAAGGGTTCTGACGTGCTGATAAAGACGAATGCTCAGGATGGGGATGTCGAAGGCACATTCAGTGAATCTTCACCAATGAGGATATAATGTGCTTTCAGAGTTACGGCATTTGTAGATATGTTCACTATTCTAGGGATTAACATATTTGACCAGAAGCAGTTACAGCTTACGTGTATAGTTCACTCACAAGTCACAGTTTGTCATTTATGAGGAAATGATTCAGTAGAGCTAAGTTGGGTAGTACTTCGTAACTGCTGTTCAAAAGTAGCTCAACTCCAGGCTCAACTCATCTATATCTGGGCTTATCTTTGAACCAATAATTCAACTACTTCCATAGTGAGGACGGTCGACGGACATGCGACCTTGTTTGCAGTTTCACCTGCAGTAGGTACCGTAATACCCTCCCGGCTCGGGGTGACCGATCGGAGATCCTTGTGACCCACAAGGTCCGATTAAATGCAAAGTCCCTTTATCAGCACACATATCAAAACCCTGCAGTGGTGGAGGTCACGCGTCAAGCGATCATTCGGTCTCGTCTTTCTGAACCGGGATTTTGACATCACCGTTTCATGTCCAATGTACGTTTGACGGCGCTACCGCGAAGCGTCCTCGAATGCAGCGAGATATGGGTAACGTTCCCGTCGTGATTTAGTTCGGTGCCCTGCCGCCGCTGTCATCTCCCCCGCGCGTGACCGGGGCGCGGGTTCGCGGCACGGACCGCTGGTTTTTCCTTCTCGCTGTTACCAGGCGGCTGCTGCCGGCCACCACGGGCAGCTGCCGCCACCGGCCACGTCAAACGACCCTGTTGGCATGGGGTGTAAATCCTCTGTCCCTGACTGTGGGGGCCGACCTTAGGCTGACCTCTGCCGCGGCGACAACAGGCACGAAACAGGCCAACGAGCTCGGTCCTTCAGAGAGCGGCGCCCGTCCCGCCCCTGGCAGAACAATGTGTATATCATTTTCTGACTGCAGCACCCCCTAATGACCATGTTTTGGGGGCTCTACGGATCGTATCGACCGACCTCTGTACTCATTTCCGTCAATTAGCCTGACTTACGTCGAGAAAAACATGTGCAGCGTATGGGAGAACGCTGCAACCAACATGAAATCATCGCACGATGGATTCGTCATTGATTACCATTGGTTTTCTCCTCAGTGAGCGCATGGATGAACTGTCAGTGGAATACACAAAAACAATCTACCATAAACCAGTGCAGGCATGTAATTTAAGATCTAAAACGAATCAAGAGATAGTCAATGCAATGAAAGGATGGTGAGCGTAATATACGTTTTGACCAGGCGCGGGTAAATTTCACGCTAGAAGCTTTTTGATGATATACATGCAATAGTACACATTCAGGCTCAAGGCAACAGTGGTCTTCCCTTGAAAAGGCTTAGTGTACCTACATACACGCAGGCGAGAGAAAAGGTTAAAAATGCGTGTGATAAGACATCCATAAGCCTTGAAAGCCATGGAGCTAATATTGCTTTATTCCAACGTGATATTGATACTTTATTTTGTTAGGTTAAATGATTTTTTTATACTGCAAACCAAAGTAATGTAAGCACAGCCGGCTTGTTCAGGAATCCGCCGGCGGAGCGCATTTAGACCGGCTCTGTTTGGCCACTGTCCCGCAGCACATGGCTGCCTTGCGGTACAGCCTACCTAGCAAGGTGCCATTGCCAGCGCGGCGGCTGCTCGATGGCTGGCAAACAACGCCGCGCTATTATATAGAATCAATGAAGGCATGATTGGGAAACGAGTTTTTTTAATTTTATAATTAATTCATTTAATGTATTCTCCAATGGCAGCGTTACACCACATGTGACATATAATTGAAATATTTGGCATCATTGCCAATATGAACAATGAACAATGAACATGGTTTTACTTAGATATATCTAAAGGACGGTTATCTTATATGACATCGGCTACCCATTACCGACACCTATATTTATCTCACATGCGAACACACTTTCGTTGGGCTCACCGAGGCACTAAGAACATCCTGAACACATTGTAGGACTTACAGGTAATAGGTGCTATGTTACTGAAGTGCTACTGTAATCATTGTTAATTATAAATGTTTATTTTTTACAACAGCTGTGAACTCGTTCTGAGAAAAAGACTCCATGCTCCCGGACACTGGTTGGTAGCAGCATATGGTGTCAGAGTATGACAATATGTAAACAATGATACCCGCTGCAGGAAACACATGAGGACACTGTTTAGTGTTTTGCGGTCGAACACGAGCACCAGGGGACCCCAGGCGTGAGTACTGATTCTGATTATGGCCGAGCCACGCGCTTATATCATCACTGTCTCTTCTTTCGCTCCGAACCGACTCCGGGATTTTACCCTTTATGTGAGGGAACCCACAGCGAACCTCGGCCGCGGGCAAAAACACCTCCACTGGCAAACAACGTCACAACGTGCACAGCAGGACGTAAAGGCAGATAATGGACTGACAGTGTCGGCATCGGAGTGGCGCACCAATCAGAGCTGCTTCAGTAGATATGTGAGCTGCGCTCAATAAGTAGTGAGTCCGAGACTGAGCGGCGGTAGTGGTAGTATTATTTCCGTCAGCTCCAGGCGGAGTAGCTCACCTCACCGTCCCACTCCGGTGGTCGATGTCCCGGCGCGGCCCGCCCCGCCAGTGTCTTCAATGAATGGGCCGGCGGCTCGCTGTTTATCCGGCTGTCAATCACCCCCGAACTCGATCACAGAACGTGCCGCCGGCCTTGTGCCAGGTTCAGCGGGACCGAACAATCCCTGTCACCTTCAGAGGACGGCACGGCATGGCACCGCAGCAGTTTGGGATCAGGGGTGGGGGACTTTAATGCAGGAACGACGGTAGCAACTTCTCATGGACGAGCGATACCCGAGGGTGCTCTAAAGTTGTTTGGTGCCAATTTGCAAGAGCTTCTCAATTTCTGTGTTGAAGAATTCAATGGAAAAATATGTCCCTGTAGTATATGAAATGGATCGCTCTCATGTTACATCTCGTACCTGATGGAAAGTATTCCTAAATCACATCTATATTATGTTGTTGACTTGGATGTTATTAACGATGATTAAGGCCCATGCTATAT